TGGAAGCGAAACTAGAACCAAATAAATGGACTGCTCCATTGGGAAAAGGACACCCATTATGGCCTACTTGTCAATGTAGGACTTCATTTCTAGAACATGCGCACACACAGAATTTCCATCTTGATGTCTACATGCCAACAGGGCTTGAGTAGTTTCATATCTTTGAACTCGAGGAAAAGGCGATGTTGGGAGAGTCAGTAGAGGAGCAGGTGGAAGAGTTGAAGAAGCATGATGTCTAGTTCCACCATTGCTCGAAGAAGGGAACATACTTTCACCTTGATCAGAGTGTGGAAGATCATCTTCAAAAGGAAAAAGAAGACCATTTCCAAAAAAATGAGGAAGACCATTATTTTCTTGACTTGAAATCTATAATGGGAGAAAAGAGAATTCAAGTTAGTTGATTTTAATCCTTAATTATTAACCCATAAAATTTAAATTAAGGCTAGGATCCATATTTTCGATTCAAACTTTGAAGAGGGATGTCGTAATCAAATTCGAATCTATTTTAGGTAGGTAAGGCTTTTACAATTTCAATCTTATGAAACTCCTAGATCTTTTGAGATTCATTGAATCTAATCAATGGCATGTTCAATCTCGGATTATTCTCTCACTTTGTGACTAGGATGCCTAGGATCACAAACGAGATGTGAATAACCATGGAAACTCACTTGACAACTTTGATGTCATTTATCATCTCACATTGATGTGTCGGTTAGCCAGACACGCTCCATCAACAACGATAAGTTTTCGAGATGTCCATCATATCTCCTTATAGTCCCTATTAGTGTGTCGGTTAACCACACACGCTCTACTAACGACATATAACGTATGATGTGTGTTTTCATGGATTAGCATACATTTCACATTTTTCCTAAAGTAACTAAGAGTGGGATTTTTAAAATCGTTTAGTTACTTTATGTCATTATACTTATTAATGAGATCGTGTCCTATTAAATCCGTTCGGCTGACGACCCTCCACCACACAGAGGAGTGGTGGGTGAGAGTGGACATCCATTGAACGACCATTTTATAAGCCACTTCCTTATACCCTCTTTATAGCATGGTTTCGTTAATAAGGCGTACTAGCGATTTGACTGACTATTCTTATACATATAATATATTAAAATTTTAATTATATATACATAGTATAAGGTGTATTTTAAAATAATTGCAGGGTTTAATCTTTTAATAAATTAAACTTTTAATTAAATCAAATTTAAACCATTTTATGGATTTATTAATTATCTTTTAATTAATCATTTAATTCAATTAATAATAAGATCCATAAGGATAATATTAATCTTATAATTAATCATTATCTTGTCTACGATTATCTCCTAACATTTAGGGTTTTATTTAATTATATAATATGATCAAAAATCAGATTTGGTAGATTTTATAAGAGATAATTACCAAATAACAACCAAATTCAAATTTTATTATGCTCACGTCGTGAGCATTAACTCTCACGTTGTGAGAACAGTCTAACAGAAAACAAAATTCCGAATTTAACTGTTCTCACGTCGTGAGCATTCAATCTCACGTCGTGAGATCAGTCTGACAGAAAACATTCGATTTGTTCAGGTTCAAGCAATGTACATTCAATTGTTAGACAACCAGACTCTGATACCACTGATGGGTTTCACATGCAATAATGTGGATAAATCTTTAACAGTTAAGGGTACATGCAACCTATTAGATCTAGTCATAACACTATTGAAGTAACATTCTATTGAACAACAAGAACACTATGAACCCTAAGTATTTTCGATTTTTGACAAACTAATTAGGAATTACATACCTTTTTTGATTATTTTAGTAAACAATCAAGAATCCTTTCTTCTTTGATTTGGAAGCTAGCACCACAAGTGTCGTGCCTCTAATGGTTCACACCCAAAACCCTAGCAACCAAGGTCACTTGAAGAGAGAGAGAGAGAGAGAGAGAGAGAGAGGGGAGAGATCAGAATTTCGGCTATCCTTAGGCCGAAATTGCTAGGTATAGGGATCCTTATATAGTGCAACTTGGAGACCCTAGATAACCCTAAAATGAATAAAATAATATTATTGTCTTCTGGTAATTATCTAGCATCCTAAATATCTTCCAAGGATAATTCTAGAAACCCTAGCCCCTCCTAAAACCGTCCAAAACTATATGAAGGTTCTGGAATGCTTCTTGTTCAACTATTGAACAATTATACTCTAACCCCTGTACTTTTAATTAATTCAATTAATTCCGATTAATTTCTGATTAATTCTTAATTAAATAATAGTATTTGTAATTAATATATTATTCTCATAATATATTAACAAATCATTTATTTTGATTTTTTAAATTAATTTATTAATCAAATAATAATAAATTAATAAATCAGTCTCTCTCTCTAAAAGTTATCATATTCAATTAATAGGTTGGAGGGCAACTCAAAAGGACCGTGCTACCATCAATTCAAGTATATACCAATTATAATAATAGGCTTAGACACCTAATCCAACCTTGTCACCTATAGCCACTGGTGAAAATTTTCGACCATACCTCTAATTCGCCACATCTGATGTCCCAAACTTGATGTTTCCTGAAACCCTAGATTGCCCACTATGAGATCTTGATGACATTAACGAAGTTAGGCTCAAACCAGTTAAAATGTGTTGATGGAATCACAGAATCAAGTGAAATCTTCAACTAAAGAACCCTAAGCCACTGTCATTGACCACCCAGAACAACTCGACTATCACCACCATCGATCACCGTCTCATTTCCCATAGTTGCTCAATTTCTACACTGTTGTTTGATTTCAGCTCGAACTAGGAGGGGAATGCCAATCTCGGATCCTTGAAATCAACTTCGTATCCTCTTATCATCATCTTGTTCGAAAGAAGTAGAAGTTGATCTAGGAAAAGGACTTCGGGGAAATTAAACCCTAGCCCTCAACTTTCTTTTGCTTTGATGGATACACTGGCACCATCAAACTTATATGTTCCCCTTAAAGCCACCTTCTACAACATCAGCCATTTGACAACAAAATCTACATCGATTCCAGCTTTCATTCCCAGATTGCAGCAAAGATTGAGTGGTTTCATACTCCGACGATTTCGACTTCCAAACCCTCGATTGGTTCCATACCATCGACAACGATTATCGGCTTTCACCACCACAACAACGACGATTGATAATCATCGAGATATCACGATTATCGGCCACAAATCAAGAATCACTGGTGATGGTTCGTGTTTCTCCTCCTTTCTTTCTCTTTCTTTTTCTCCTCTCACCAAGATTACCCATTTAGTTGCAACAATTTTGGGTTTCAGGCCATTCGAGCAGCACCACTCTCTTTCTCTGCTTTTCCGGGCGTCTTCACACTGCCACTATCGTATTATGGGCGAGCACAGGTTCTTTTACTGGTAATCTTGTATCGATATTATTGAGGATCATAGTAAGATTAGAGAGGGATGAAGGTGTAAAAAACAGTGACAATGAGACGACGATGTAGGTGGCGGACAGGAAGGGCGACGATATTAGTGGCAGAGAGAAAGAGTAGCAGCGGCAGCGTATGTGTGGTTATGGTTTTGAATTACAAACTGACATGATTATAGGTTATTTAGTTTCCAAAACGAAGCCGAAGTTAGGGGATTAGAGTCGTGATTTTGGGATGACAAAGGTAAACGGAACAATTTTGAATAGATAGCAGATTTATTCATATCGATATCGATATATTAAATTAAATAGTATTAAATAGTATAAATATAAATTCAAAGGAAAGGCAAAATAGGAATTTCAGTTTGTAAATTTATAGCCTGAAAGATGTCACGTGGACAAAAAAATGAGTCTTTTAGTATAATAGGAGATGTTTAAACTTGGTTGTGTGCTTGGAACTCATACTTGCTATGACCTATGGGTTTAACTTTTAAGGCTAATAATTTAAAGATTCAATAATCCCTATTAGCAAAATTTATGAGCTTAATAGAGTGGAACCACATACATCCTAAAACTGTTTAATCTGATTTGATAAATTAGAAGATACTAAGAAAATTAGTTAAGTCAAACTGCATAAATAAATTAACAATTTATATGTGATAAGTGCTTATTTTACATGTTTTACCAATTATGATTGGTAAGTGCTTAGAAATATTTTTATCATAATCATTTAATGCTGAAATGCAAGAGCAATAAAGAATGCATCCACAGTAACATTATTGGAAAAAAAAAACAGATTTAAGGGTTAGAATGCATCATTGGTTTATTAATTTGATAGTTTGTTGATATATAGATAAATTGGTAATTGGTAGTTTGTTTATCATTTGGTAATTGTTATTTTGGTTTATGTTAGTAGTTTAACTTAGAAGTTTATATACGGTTAATTATTATGTAGTTGGAGAATCTTCGATCAATGTTCAACAATTTGGCATGTACAATGGAACTTCTAGGAGGGAACGAGGGTGGCGGGGATGATGACACGGCGGATTAGATCTTTTATTAGACATTGTAGTATGACATAAATTTATAAAACTTTTGTTATTTAATTTATGTATGTATGGTATTATAAAACTCGGATGCTATGTATCGGTTTTTCTGCATTGAACGTATTAGTTTTTTGCATTTAACGTTATTATGTATCAGTTTTTGGACATCCGAAAATGGCTAATTTAAAAAAAAAAAAAAAAAAAAAAAAAGACATAGTGGCGACACTATTAGCGGCGACATTGAGCATTAGCGGTGATTTTCTGAGCAATAGCGACAAAGCAGCAGCGGCGACGCAGTAGTGGCGACTTGTCGTCGGTAAAGGTATTAGCGGCGACATTGGTGAGCAATAGCGACGATTTTTGTAGCTGGTAATACCCTTATTTCTTATAGTGACAATGATGTTTATCAAATATCAAAATAAATATCTTCCATTAATGTTAAACAGGGCAATAAAAATTATAAAAGAGATTTCTAAAACATGAGTTATTTTCCTTGTCGAAAAACCTAACGTCTAAGTATATAATTATATATTTTTATCTAATTATTTGTTAACATATATTTGTTCCAAGATCCGCAAAACTTCTTCACTCGAAGGCCTATCCTCACGATCCATAGCTATACATTTTAACGCCAATACAGCGCATTGGAAAGCCTCTTCTACGGGATAATTTCGTTCAAGACGTGGATCCATTAACTTCTTTAGCTCACTTTTGTCGGCCAGCAATTCAAAAGTGCTTCGTTTCATATTTAGTGCATGCTTGCCTGTTAGGATTTCCAGCATAATTATTCCAAAACTATAGATGTCACTCTTTGCATGACCTGTAACATTAAAGTGTATTGTATAAAATTAGAAAATAGAATAAAGCTTAACTTTTTAAACCACTACACTTGCGTGTATCTGTCTAAAACAAATCACTGGTTTTACATAGATTAAATTTAGACCCAAAAAAAATATAATATGATGTTTTCTCTTCATTTATATATGTTTCCATAGTACATCTAAAAGGACTTATTCTTATGCTTTGCTAGAATTGTTTTCTAGGAAAGATAAACACAATTATTAGTTATCAAAGTTTACTCGTTCAAATATTTAACATACCATTCCCTCTACCCCATGGGTCCACATAAGCTAGCGTACCCATAAAATGTCTAGAAACATATGTTTTCTGGATTTCGGGGCCAAATCTTGACAACTCAAAACCTCCGAGTTTTGCATTAAAATCCTAAAATAAAAACAAGAAAAATAAATAGTTAACTTTAGTTGGCATTACACCAAAAACATGGAAGTGTTTTGCTCATGCCCAAAAATCTAAAGTAGCTAATGGCTACCTGATCTAGCAATATATTATATGTGTTAACATCACGGTGTATGACTTCATTTTCTGATGAATGCATGTAAGCGAGTCCACAGGCTACTCCTATCATTATTTTAAGTCGCGCCCCCCATGAACGTTGCTTGGAGACATCTCGTGCATCTGCAACATTATACATGCAATTACATCAGCTATTTAATTGCATGATTGCAACAATCCAACTATTGATTAGAAAATAACCCAATGATAGTTTCTGAATGAGATTCAAGTATCTTGCCTCCAAATAAGAAGTGATCAAGATTTTGGTTTTGCATGTACTCGTAAACAACCAAGCATTCGCCTTCTTTATCATTGGAGTATCCCAAGAGACTAATAATATTTGGATGAGTCAACCGTGCTAAGACTGTCACCACTTTCTGATCTCACAAAATTTTAAGTTACATTCAACAAAATGATTGATAAAACAAACATTATAGCATCATATTATCAAAAAGACTCCTAACTTCTGTTCACAACATAAAGGTAGATATAAAAATAAAAGAAAATGACATTGTAATTGTAGCCCTACTAAGTTTTATTATTTGGTCTATAAATAGTCCCTTTTTTTAACCCGAACCCAAATTAACCGGTTCAATTTGCCATATGTGTAAATGTAGCCACATAAGCAGTGACATGGCTAGGGAAAATATCAAATCAACTATTAACCAATAACAATACACAGAAAAGCAGGAGAAGTTGCTTCGCCTCATTGTTTTTCTTCAGCAAGATCATCTACTTTGCTCACTACCACTCACAACAAGCTCCATCAATGGCATCAATACCACAAGTCTGATCACACAGAAACAACATCGAAGAGTCGGATGTGAAGCGGCATTGAGTTTCTAACGGTCGTTGGTTTTCCCGCCAAACTCCTAGTCGGCGATCAATTCTGAAAATTGGCGATCCCAAACGCCAAATCGGCGACCCCAATCACGAACTGAAGCTATTCTGATCGGTAAGAACACGTTCCAACAATCAATTTTGCGATTCGGTGGGATCGTCATGTTGTCGTACCGAAGTACGATTCTGCGTGCGATTGGTACGACGTTGTACCGCATTTGGGAATGTTTTGATCAGATCGTGGATAATGGCTGATAGAGCAATTCCTGTGACTATGGTTTTGATTTTCAGATTCCGTATGTTCGTGTGTGTATGTATTTTTTTTTATCCCCCACTTCACCCTTCTGAATCGATAGCGGACTCTTCCCATTTTTTTTTTTTTTTTTTTGGTTCGAATTGCAGATTTGGGTTGTGAAATTGGCGATGAAGGTTTCTATATGATGGTTTGTGGAGGTGTTTGATGGTGGGTATAAGGTGGGATGATGGTTGAGAAATAAGAATTGGTGGTTACTGGTTAAAGGTTGTTGAGTTGCTTATGTGGTAACGGGTACCCGATTACCCGGTTATAGAAGGGAAGTGGGGCCAAGAGAATTGCTGATGTGGTTACCCCTTCATAATTTCTAAAAAGATTGTTTAAAGACGATAAAACTTACCTTATAGAAAATAAGTTTGGAGATCATTTAAACCAAAACCCAATACTTTGATAGTCTATAATGTCATTTTTCCTAAAAATAACCGTTAAAATTTTCATATATGTTCATTTCTCACTTGTTAACAACCATGGTTCAAATGTAATGTTCCCAAGCCACTTTTTTTTAATTTTTTTTGGAGAGAAATAGAGTTATTCAGACGAGGAATTGATGTGAAAGGAGAATCGAAACATAGAGTTCAACAGTTTCTCATAAAAATCTAAAATTTTCATGTTAATCATCAGGGCCGGCCCTAGGGGAGTTCAAGATGTTCCACCGAACAGGGCCCCGAAAAAAATAGGATCCGAAAATCATGCTATTAACTAAATGAATATATATTATGTAGTATAATGTTATTCGCTTTCTTTAACATAATTGTTCTAGTCCAGTTGGTTATCGGCGCAACTCTTAAATGTTTAAACACCCGTGTTTGATTCTTCCCCACGTTATTTTTTTTCTATGAGTAGTTTATATTATATAAATTAAATAGAGCACAGTTTAGTTGGCGAGGGTGCAGTGTCTTTTACTAATCCACCTTAGTTCGATTCCAATACTGGCCCAATTTTTTAATATGTAATACTTTAATATATTTAGGAATTTTTTATATAAACCTAATTTTAATATACATTTTTTCGTGTTTGCACAGGGCCTAAGATAACTCCGGACCGGCCCTGTTAATCATAGATGTAATTTTATGTATATTCATTGATACTTACTTGCCATTCTGGACGATCTTGATTGTACCGTTTAACAGCAACAACAATTCCAGCACCCTATGAAAGGCCGAACGTGTTCTTATCAACCCAACCTAAGAACATGTCTCCAAAACCATCCCTGCCCAAGAGCAAATCTGGAGTAAAGTTTCTTGTAGCCTTTTGCAGATCAATAAACTTAAATACTTTCAAACTTGGAGTAGGATTTGTGAAACATTTGCTGTCAACCGCTACACCATGAGCTGAAATGGATGAATACAAACATATTACATAGGTTTTCCACCACTATACAACTTTTTTTTGGTATTTACTTGTACCCAATCAATTGTTTTCCCACTACGTTTTGATATCACTATATTCTCCCGTTTTTTAAACTTTAGCCTACTACAATTAATATTGTATAAAAAAATATTTATACGATTTTAAATGTAAAATTGTCAACATTAAATGAAAAAAAAATGATGTTCGATTTACAAAAATAAATGGTGTCAAAATTGAAAAATAGTGAAAAGCTAGTGTCAAATTTTAAAAAATAAAACTTAATGTCTTTTTGTGTTATTTTTTTCATTTCTAATACATCATAATGACACATTAGCACCACATAACCAAATAGCACAATGTCAACCTGTCACGTCAATAGATAAACGGATTTACTAATCAAGTGGTCAAAATTGCAAAAAGTTGAAAAACTTAGTGACTAAATTTTAACGGAAAAAATAATGTAGTATCAAAATCGATTTTTTATGAAAACATAAAGATATTTGTGCAATACCTAAATAACAAATAAGAAATGCAAATACCTTTATTGAGTCATAACATCGAATGAAGGGCTATAAGTTGTCACTTTTCTATATCTATTTTATTAATATGTTCATCTATGTAGAAGTCAGCATCCATGGCAGAGGATATATGTATATATATACATGTATTCAATAATTTTTTGAATATGAAGTTGAGTTAAATATATTAAAATGCCAAGCAGTGCAATCCGCAATGGAAATAAGAGCATCCGAAAGGTTTTTGTCATTAAAAGGTTTTGTCCCAAGAATCTATGGACATAATGAAAGCCATAAACAATTGTCCAATAATCTTTCTTAAACTACAAACAATCACATCCATAGACAAATCAACGTGTATGCTCATTGATTCATAATTAGTACTAATTTTCTTTTTGACTGGATATGGCATTCTTATAGTTTCATTAATGCTCTCGTAATATGTGCAAATGTGGATACAGGAGAATCTATACACATAGTTCAAGAGGAGCTTGAAATTGCCTGAGGTCTCTCCATTGGAAGGGAAGGGAAACATATCAAGCATTCTCCCAAATATTGTTCTGCCTGCATCGTGCAAGGAACTATTGATTTTCTCTTGTAAGGTCAACACAGAATGAAGACTGGCCACAACCTCAGACATCGTAGGACGCTGCTTTGGATTGCCAAGAAAACATCAAACTACAATTCGAACAAACTCCTTTAAACATCTTGTGGATATTTGACCCCTTATATCAGGATCAATGATATCTTTTATATTTCCTTCTTTAATAGAATCTTGAGCCCATGTCACTAAACCCCATTGCTCCTCATCAAGACTTGTACCCACTGCACGCTTTCGACATAGCACCTCCAACAAGACCACCCCAAAAGCATACACATCAGACTTTCTAGTCAACCTTCCAGTATAGAAATAATTTGGATCAAGATACCCAAAAGTACCTTTAACAAGTGTGTTGACATAGGTAGATGGCTTATTCGTTGGGCCAATTCTTGACAACCCAAAGTCTGAAATTTTAGCTGCCCAACTTTCATGTAACAAAATATTTGAACTCTTGACATCACGATGTATAACACCAAACTCAATCCCTGTACCTGTGTGAAGGTAGTCTAACCCACGAGCAGCCCCTATACAGATCTTGAGTCGCTGAATCCAAGAGAGATGGGTACGGAGTTTATGGAGGTGGTCTTCAAGTGTTCCATTGGGCATATATTCATAGATGAGGATCATCTCTTTTTTATAATTACAGTAACCAATCAAAGATACAAGGTGACAATGTCGCAGCTTGGAAAGCATCTCAACTTCCGCCCAAAACTCTATTGCTCCTTGAGCAGACATCGAATCCAACCGTTTAATGGCAGCAACGATGACATTTGATCCATTCATAATGTTTCCTTTGTAAACTTTTCCAAAACCCCCTTGTCCAACTACTAATGATTCGTCGAAGCTATTGGTTGCCAAGAGAATTTTTTGAAATTCAAAGTGACGGCATAGTTGTGACCATTCGGTGGATGAGGTAGTGGGTTGTGATTCCTTGCCATCTCTAGTAGTTGTAGACATTATTATTGGTGAAGTAGAAGTAGAAGTAGAAGTAAAAATAGACACAGGTAAAGAACTTACAATGGTGGTTCCATAGATGATAGTGGTAATCTACCTAGAAAGAGAGATTCTATTAGGTCAAGTCAACCTAGACAATACAACGGTAATCTTCCTGGAAAGTGACACTGACATAATTTGTATGTAACTTTCTTTTTGTTTCATATGATGTTTTAACTTTAACTTTATACTTTATTAATTATACTATATATACTTTATTAATTATATTAGGTGTGAGACTCATGTATTACATGAGTTTATTTAAAAAAAACTAAATACAAAATTTTAAACATTTGAAAAGTTTGAATTTATAAGTAAAGTGAGAAAATATTGAATTATAAAAATTAAAGTGTTTTTCTCATTAAAATTTAAACAAATAATTTAGATAAATAAATAAAGAAAATCTTTAATTTAGTAATTTTGAAATTAAAAGGTAAGTTCATTAATAAAATTGATACTCATTTATTATTGCATTTAAATACTATTTGGAATTTAATAAAATGAAAAAAAAACCATAAAATGACATGTGGAATAGAAATTAATTTAAAAAAACTACAAAATTACATGTGGCAAAATAAATGAGAATCTGATATGTGGCAAAAAGATATTTATTTATTATTGCATTTAAATACTTTTTAGAATTTAATAAAATGAAAAAATCATAAAATAACATGTGGAATAGAAATTAATTTAAAAAAACCACAAAATTACATGTGGCAAAATATATGAGAATATGACATGTGACAAAAAGATCTTTATTTATTAGGGAGGATTTTCATATTTTAGTTGAGTTATTATTTTGTTTATGAAAAATTGGTGGATTTAGATTTTTTCTTTAAAGGGCCAAAGTATCATAAAAGACAACGCTAGTTGGGCGTTAGAAAGAAACGAGAAACAAAAACAAACAAACCCATGAGAATATCACCAATCAATCCAATTTATAAATAAATAATATGCATACTTGGAATATTTATAAATAAATTTAAAATCCGTTTCAACATCTAGTTCAACTTTCACAAGAATTCTAATACCCACCCTTTAAAAAGTGTGAACGATCCAACCTATTTTGTTTTGATTTATGCAAAAAAATTAAGGTTGCATTTAGTTGAAGAAAAATTGG